CATCGTCTCCTACTTTGTATTAGTGGAAAATCATCATGGTAATTAAATGAGAAGTAAAATGAAGACTACAGTGCTACAATATAAATTTAGTTATTTGGAAATCAATCGCACTTCATTACTTGTGACAACTTAATGGAGAGTAAGTGAAACTGTAATTATCTGAATCATGTTCAAGGATAACTCTGACATACTGTGCTTTCTCTGTATCTCTTCCGTTATCTTATCCATCAACTTCAACTGTGTTCTCATTAACATTATAAAATTGAATGCATTTGATATAGCGATATTCACGGCTGGAGGAATTCTTGAAGCGCATCAGTGGAGTCCTGTAGCTCAGTGGTTAGAGCACTCGCCTCGCAAGCGAGAGGATGTGGGTTTGATTCATGGGCAGAGTGAAATGTTAGGCAAGTTTCCTTACTCCATACACCTCTGTTTACCAAGCAGTAAGTTTCCGGAGGTAATAATCCCTTCAAATAGTAATAATAATTATAATAATTTGGTCACTCAATCCATGACTGTTTGTGGGACGCTGATGAGTGCAATAGGGTGTCGCGTCTCTCCCATAAAATATACAGTCCACTTTACAGTATATTCTGTGAAGTACTTTGATATGTCTCGAGGACGTGATAAGGCGCTACATCAAATGCAAGGATTATCATTATTATGATTATACACTGAAAATTGTAGTAACTGTATATTTTGTAGGTGAAGGTAGCAGACAAATTGCGCATTACAGGAACCTACCGACAGGCATCAAGTGAATGATCACTATTTGCTGTTGGCCAAGACACAGGGAGAAAGTCCCTTTTATTTTCCAATAGTGTCACAGGTTTACCTGAACATGCAGACCAATTCTTGAGTTAACATCTCAAAAAATAAGAGCACCTTTAGGAACCTGGTTGTTAATGGATTGGCGAATGGCTTTTCCGGGGGTAATAATCCCTTGAAAAAAATAATAAATAAATAATAATTTAATGACTTAATCCACGACTAATTGTGGGACACTGATGTGCACAATTGGCGGCTGTGTTTCTACCACAAAATGCACCGTATGTTCTATGAAGCGCTTTGAGACGTCTCCACGATGCGATAAGACGCTGCATCAAATGCAAGGATTATTATTGTTTTATTAATACTCCCTCAGCACAGCACTCAATGCGAACCTAGAGAGTGAGTTCCAAGCCTGACTAGGGTTTTAACTGAAGTTCAATACAAATATAAGCCATTTTTTACCATATAATATTTGTTCCGTAGGAATAGCAACAGGTATTTTATTTCTAGGTGAGAGGTATGGGGTTGATAATATTTTATGGATTATATATTTGAAGCGATGTAGGTGCATATAAAAAAGAACAGTTTATCTCAGAATTCAAAATGGTTGGATTGTTTACAATGCATTGACCTATTCTGCCTTGATGATACATTTGTGCTGATCCCATGCTTTTGGTGAGAATTGGGCAGAAATTGACTTGTTTCTTTCTTACAGTTAATTTAATTGCGATTGTGATCCTATCCCAGGGAAAGTGTGGTCTCTCCAAATGCATCTCTCGTTATGTGGTGTCTATGTCAGCAGCCGATCTCCTGGTTATTATCAGTGATGTGATATTGACTCGACTGAATTTTCTCTATTTCCCAATTTGCTTCCTGGACCTCACTCCGGTGTGTTCGCTCGGGACCAGTCTACTTTGTGCAACCACTGATGCCTCTGTGTGGCTAACAGTGGCCTTCACCTTTGATCGCTTTGTAGCTATTTGCTGTCAGAAGCTGAAAAAGAAATATTGCACCAAGAGAACAGCGGCTGTGGTGATAGGAACGGTTTGTGCTCTGAGCTCTTTCAGGAACATTCCTTGGTATTTCACTTTTCAGCCTTGGTACATAATTGACAAGTTACCGTGGTTCTGCATGATAACACCAAGCTATTATGGTTCATGGGCCTGGGAAGCGTATTCCTGGTCATACACCTTACTAACTCCTTGCGCTTCCTTCGTTCTGATTTTGCTGCTCAACACCCTGACCATCAGACACATTTTAGCAGCAAACAGAGTCCGCAGGAGGCTTATCGGCAGTAACAGCACTGACAATGCTCATGACTCAGAGATGGTCAACAGGAAGAAATCCATTGTAATTCTCTTCGCTATATCCGGGAGTTTTATACTTTTGTGGATGACTTATGTTGCGTACTACTTATGTAGACAAATTGTAAACTACTATTCTTATTCTGGGAACAATGATCCAGTCTATGTTTTGTATGAGACTGGGTGGATGCTGCAGCTTCTCAGTAGCTGCACAAACACATGTATTTATGCTGTGACCCAGGCTAAATTCAGAGAGGAATTAAAAAACGCAGCTAAGTATCCAATAAAATTGATATGTAAACTGGCACATTAATGGAAAAACTGCTGCCCCCAAAACGTAACTGAATAGACATTAGTTTGTGTGAATCGCATTGCATTTGGTTTGTGTCCGAGGGATGTGCAGCCCATATCCACATCTCTGATTCCCTGTCAGGATGCGCCAAACGCATCCCATCCTTGCTCGGCTGCATTGGCTCCTAAAGCCCAAGTGGATTAAATGAAGGATCTTTGTTCTCTTGTTAAGATCCCTCCATGGTCTTGTCCCACGCTATCTCGGGAACCTCATTGACCCATACTGGCAGGTCCATTCCCTTCACTCAGCCAACACCGGTCGACTCCTCCACCTGCCGCTCTGTCCGCCCTGCTGCAATCGGTTGAGCTTTCAGCCAATTAACGCAAACACTCTGTAACTCCATTGCCAGGTACATCCGACATGTTCCCTCCCTCCCCTCAATTTCCATGTCCTTCTCAAAAGGTGAGTTGACTGTGGCTTTGGGCCATTTTCTCACTGTTCACCCTCCCCCCACCCACCCCCCCCTCCCTCCAACACCAACACTCAGATTGGGTACTCAACAACAAGAAATCATCTTCAGCCTATTGAGACTTTCACCCGACATACAGTATGTTCTGCTGATTGTGCTGTGGGGTGTGAGATGTGTGTGTGTGTGTGTGGGGGGGGGGTGAGGGGAGTCTATAGCAGCAGCATTGGGTGCCTCTCTGCAACTCTCATTCCAGTTTGGGATCCCATATGGCTGTGCCAAGGACTTTTAAGACGTCCTAAGGACAGAAAAGTCCCCATGTAAATCAAAATCCTTGTTCTTGTTGGGAAGAGGAAATGCAACCAGAATTCATGTTATTCATTTCTCTTCACTTCAACGACCTTCTGAAAGTTCAGATGTAGAGATCTTGTTTTTGTAAGGCAAATAAGAGGGGTTCAGATTATTGCCGAAGTACATTTATTAGGACATTCACTTTCCAGCGTTTATCTTTAGCATTTGATCAGAACCAGGAGCATGATAGTCCTTTCCCTTTCCCCTGCCCATCGTTAAATCAAACCTAGGTCTCTCCCTTGCGAGGCAAGTGCTCTAACCATTAAGGTATGGATCTCCAGCTACAGGCCTTACCCCACATCTTCCCCCCACCCCGTGAATAGACCCTTAAGTTGGACCACTTATATCAAAAGCCTTGAAAGGGCCCTTAAAATAACCAGACAGATATTCTACTGATCCATTTTTCAATCCACTCTCTAAAAGTATTCTGTTGGTGTCTGATTGGTTAGCAAAACAATAGGTGATAAATCAACAATGTATTCAAATTGTTGTACTGTTCAAAAAGTGACAAATAAATGTTTTTCACATATTTTAAAACATTAAATTCTACAGGAGTCAATATTCTGGATGCATATGCTATTGGACACAGTTTATCATGCTTGTGCTATCAATTTTTTTACTGCTTCAGTACAACGGGGGATCTTCCCCAGTAATGTTAGGTTGTCCTGCTAACTTTCTAGTCGTGTTTGTGATTTGCGAACACATTATTAGTGGTTTGTACGTTAGCAATGTTAACATTATTATTATTATTATCATGTGTTAACAATTTCTTTAAATCATACCCCTCTAGCTTTTTTATTGCATGAACAGCTACATGATCTGTTATTTTATTCCAAATTTTTGTGCCAGGTTTGACACTTTTTACTTGTCATGGAAGTTTGTTTGCAAAATCAATTATCACATGATATTTGTCCATCAGATCTGCACCAATGATGCTTAAATTGACTGGAGTGGTCATCAAAATACATGGCCATTTTATTTTTAAATGTTCCACTTGAAATGGAGTTGATTCCACCCCATATTGACAATTGCCTGTAAACCCACCTAATTGAGCAACTGTTTTAGATGCAAGCTACGAAATTCGTGGTTCTCTTTCATATATTCGTGGAGTCCTGTATCTCAGTGGTTAGAGAATTCGCTCGCAAGCGAGAGACCCGGGTTCGATTCCCGGGAGGGCGAAATGTTGGGCGAGTTTCCTTACTCCACACGCCACTGTTTAACTGGTAGTACACAGGAAACTGGTTGTTAGTAGATTGACGGATCACTGTTCCAGCGATATTAATCCCTAAAGAAACCCAATAATAATTTGGTCAGTGGTTGTGGTGGGACGTTGCTGTGCGCAATTGGCCGCTGTGTTTCGCCCACAAATATACACTTTACAGTCTATTCTGTGAAGCGCTTTGAGACGTCTCGAAGACGTGAAAAGCGCTATATCAAATGCCAGAATTATTATTGTAGCCATTCAGGAGGGCCCCAGTGACCAGCAATAATAGTTTAGGATGGCCTCCTGCCTCCCGCAGCACCGAGCGCTGTCTCCCATCTCCCCGCGGGATATATATGGGATGGGCGCGAGGCGCCAACATCGCACTCCCGGCTCTCCACCCGCGACCCCCTGAACATCAACCCCCCCCAACCCAACTTCTGCCCTCCTCCCTGATCACCACGTGACCGTGTTGCTGCTGTTGTTGTTGTCTGCAGTGTCTCTGTCCCCTCCTCTCCCAGGAAACCCTGAACGAGCTGACGTCACAAGAGCCCCTGAACGTGCCGACGTCACAAGGGCCCCCAACGTGATGACGTCACAGGAGCCCTGACGCACTCAGGCCTGAAAGCCGCCATGCTGATGGCGTCCGTGGCCCGCGGGCCGCTGCTCGGTCTTTCCTCCCGGTCCACACGGCTCGGCCTCCGCCCCGCCGCCGCCTCCTCGACCTCGACCTCCGCCCCGGACTCAGCCTCAGCCTCAGCCTCGCCCCCGGTGGCGCTGGTGACGGCCTCGAGCGAGGGGATCGGGCTGGCGGTGGCCCGGCGCTTGGCCAGGGACGGGGCTCACGTGATGCTGAGCAGCCGGCGGGCGGCCAAGGTGGAGCGGGCGGTGTCCGAGCTGCGGGCCGAGGGCCTGAGCGTGTCCGGGGTGGCCTGTCACGTGGGGCGGCGGGAGGAGCGGGAGCGGCTGGTGGCCGAGGCTCTGGCCCGCTTCGGGGCCATTGACATCCTGGTGTCTAACGCGGGGGTCAACCCCGCGCTGGGGGACACCCTGGACTGCACCGAGGAGCAGTGGGCCAAGATCTTCCAGGTCAACGTGACGGCGGCGGCGCTGCTGGCGGGGCTGGTGGTCCCCCACATGAAGCAGAGAGGGGGCGGCTGCATTGTGCTGGTGGGCTCCGTCGCGGCCTATCAGTCATTCCCGAACCTCGGGGCCTACGCGGTCAGCAAGACGGCTCTCCTGGGGCTGACCAGGGTGCTGGCCGAGGAGCTCGCCCCCGCCAACATCCGCGTCAACTGCGTGGCCCCCGGCCTCATCCGCACCAACTTCAGTGCCGCGCTGTGGTCCGAGCCGGACATTGTCAAGCCGGTCCTGGCCACCATCCCCGCGGGCAGGATGGGGCAGCCGAGGACTGCGCCGGGGCCGTGGCCTTCCTGTGCTCGCCCAGCGCGTCCTACATCACCGGGGAGACGGTGGTGGTCGCGGGCGGCATGAGGTCTAGGCTCTGAACGGGGGCTCGCTCTCGAAATCTGCCTGACCTGCACTGGGTTGTCCGCCCTGCACGGCAACCCCGGATGATCTGACCACATTGTTGTGTCAAATTAATATTACCTGCCAAGTGATTGAAAATAATTCGCCGTTGACATTGGCGGAAGTCAGTGATTGGTATTGAACAAGGAATCGAAGACCGTGAGACCGAGGAGGGACGATTACATCATCACAACAGAAGGATTTGCTCAGTGGAACAAGACCAAAGTGCAACCACTTCGCCTTCCACCGTCCTGGCAGTCGCATGACACGTCCTATCCCGAGAGATTATTTCCTAATAAAAGGAAATAAGAATTTCCAAATCTATATCATTTGTGCTTGAAAGAACCGGCACTTCCTGCTTCCACACATTTACTGCTCGCTCCCTGAAGTTGTATTTCCGCAGGTGTGCTGTGAATTTACCCCCATTCAATCGTAGGCCGTGTCAGATCTGTGCAGGAGCACATCTGGATAGTGTCTCTTCCTACCGACAGCACCGCAGGATCTTTAAACTCCGCCCCAGGGACAACAACAACAACAACTTGGATTTATATAGCGCCCTACAGAGTGCTTCACAGTAACGGATCCCGGGGCTGAGCCGTGTGGGAGGGGGAAGAAGGTGACCAATTTTCTCAATTGGAAGTTGCTTCCGGAAGAGAATTATTAAAGGGTGCGGGTGGTTATTACAATAATAATAATCCTTGCGTTTGATATTGCGCTTTTCACGTCTTCTCGACGTCCCAAAGCGCTTCACAGAATAGACTGTAAAGTGAATTGACTATTTGCAGGCGAAATGGGGCACCAATTGCGCACAGCAGCGTCCCACAAGCTGTCATGGATTGAAATTATTTTTTTTATGGGGATTATTAACAGTCTTTTTACTAATTTTTTACTAATTTTTAATAAGACAAGAGTAATAAATAATAATAAATAATGGTAAATAAAAATAATCAAATCTGGGTGTTGGAAAAATTTTCATTACTTTGAAAAATGGGGCGGGGGGATCCACATGTTGCAATTGCTGAAATAAAATCCATTCATTACAATAACTGACTCACCGTATCTGACAGACTCACTCACTGACTCGCACTGTACCTGACAAACTCACTCACTGACTCACACTGTACCTGACAGACTATCTCACTGACTCACACTGTACCTGACAGACTATCTCACTGACTCACACTGTATCCGACAGGCTCACTCACTGACTCACACTGTATCTGACAGGCTCTCACTCACTCATACTATCTGTCATGCTCTCTCATTGACTCACACTGTAGCTGACAGGATCTCTCTGACTCGCACTGTAGCTGACAGGCTGTCACTCACTGACTCAAACCACAGACTGTGGGCAAGAAGCTCAGGAAGGAGAGTTACTCCATCCACGTGTTCAAGGTGATGAAGCAGTTCATCCGGACCCCGGCATCTCCTCGAAGGACATGAACTCCTTTGTGAATGACATCTTTGAGCGTAACGCGCCTATGGCTTGCCCTCTGGCTCAGTACAACGAACGCTCAACCATCAAATATATATTTAGTACAACAAACACAAAACACTTTATTTGTTACCAGCTACAAAACATTACATTCCTTGTTGGGATAATCGTCTAAGCGGCGAGCGAATCCTGATGTCCCTATTATATATTATATATATATATATATGATGTTGGCCTCAGAGGGGTTGGGTTTAGCGCTGCTAAAAAAACGCTGTCCTCCCTCAATGCCATCCAATACGTGGTTATCCAGTTTTATCATGAGGGCCTCATGAGACAAGGGCAAAAATCTTGCAAAAGTCGATAAACACATCTTAAATGGGTTTCCCCTCAGCCTTACGATGTTCTGTGATCTCATGCAGAGCCACAACCAGTCCCGCATGTTCCTCACGAGGACAAGGCAGCCTGGTCCTTCCTCAAACAATGAGTCTCGAATGCGTGCGAGAGATGTGCAGTGACTACCTCTTCAAGGGTCATTGAAATCAGTGAGATCCCTCTGCAGTTATCAGTTTCACTTGGGTCACCCTTCTTGTGGATAGACACAACAATTGCTCTCTGGACACTGATGGGGTGTGGCCTCACAGAGATTCCTGGTGACCAGCGCTGTTGGCACCAGCTGCAGTTTCCTTACAACCTCACTTGCTGAAACAAGAAAGTCCTTGGTTACATCTTCTGTGGTCGAGTCCGCATTGTCAGCCCTCACGTAGAATCAGTCCTAGACATCATAGTCAGCCGCACACCTCACGTGGATGATTTTTTTTGGCCTGGTCACTCATAGCGCAAGGCACACTGACAGCTCCAATACTTCAGTTGGTCACCACATGACCAGCAACCCACCTTCAAAGTTCATAGGTTGCTCTCTTCACAGTAATGTGACGGCTTAATGGTCAGACGTTTCCCAAAGTACACCACAATTGATGAGCAGAGGATATGCCAAGCCATTTGGCACCTTGTGATTGATTGCCTTTCACTATGCCCTCCACCCTATTTTCTTCCCCCTCCTCTTGAAATTATCTCCACCATCTACCTAAGTCTCCTTAACTTGGCGATTACTCGGATTCCCACCATCTCGGACAATACTGTCACGGATAAATCCATCTCTGACAATTATGCTAGAGAAACACAAGAATTGTGAGGTTAATGTGCTAAACATAAGCTTTTGGATTACCAAATAAAACAGGTAGAGAATGGAATTTGAGGCGGGGAACAGTACTGTTCCTGGAAACATTTTGGGATTTTTCATCAATTGACTGATTTTACAAATAAATTTCGTGGAAATGTCACCACGTTTTTAATTCTGTTCTGAATTTATTCTGACCTATAACATATACAATTGTTTGTGCAGCAACTCAGGCCCTGAAGCATTGATCCGACTTTCATTGCCACAAAGGATAAGTAATATATGTAACACTGCGAATAATTTGTGTGAATATGAAGCAAATTAAAAATGTCAACTACAGTGATATGAAACTGACAGTTATCGTCAAAAGTAGCACAATTGATTTTCTTCGGTTCTGTAGCTCTGCGTCACTCTTATTCTCACCTTTGCTGTTTCCTCAAAGACTATTGAGGAGCGACTGGCCATCACTTGACTGAGAATATTGAGCCCCAAAATCCAAACAAATGGGGAAAGGGTGTTGTAATATTTTGAAGAATTGCATCCCTTTGGGTGAAGTGTAAAAGATTGGTTTTGGATTGTACCGCCAAGAAATATTATTAATGATATAAATCGGCTGAAAAAGGAAATACCAAGGAATACTTTTCAAACAGTTCAACTCACTGATTGTTGCTGTAACCAATGCTGCAATTTTTGGGGTCCAATACGTCATTTTCAGCTTCTGACAGCAAACAGCGATGAAACAATAAAAAGTGAAAACCACTGTAAACCGGACAGAACATTCAGTGGCTTCACTCACAGTACGGCTTTGACTCCACAAACCCAAGTTCAGTTTAGAAAAGTACGTGAGAAGAAAAAAGAGAAAAATCTTCTCCAATATCACATGTGTATGATGGCTACGGCAAGCAAGTCACCGGCTGCCGTAGCCACCATGTAAGATGTGACGCATTTTGAAAGACTTCACTTTCCTCGGGACAGGATTACAATCACCATCACATTAACTGCAAGAAAAAGAGCAAATTACCATTTCCTATCTGTCTGGAAATGTTTGATTTAGGCATTTTGTCTGAACTGTTTGATGTTGCTGTTTACTTTTAAGGATCTTAATGGTATCTCATCGTACCTCTTTCACTGCGCCAAAGGTCATGTTTTCTTTCCCCGTATCCTCAGCTCATAAGCCCAACTGTGTTGCCCAGCTAGCAAGATGAAGTGCTTTGAGACAACCATACAACATTTAAAGGCGTGATATAAATGAAAATTGCATGGCATAAAATTAACAATCTTCACATTTGATATTCTATCACCCCCCGCCACTACCCTACAGGAACGGCGCGAAGAAATGGTAGATGTTAAACAAGAATACACTGGCAATGCGTATATTGTTATATTTAACATAAGCAAGTGCGGTCCCACTGAGGTGGATGATGGAGGAGAGGGTTATATTGTTATAATATTAGTAATATTAGGGTGGAGTCCTGTAGCTCAGTGGTTAGAGCACTCGCTTTGCAAGCGAGAGACCTGAGTTCAATTCCAGACAGAGGGCGAAACCTTGGGCAAGTTTCCTTACTCCACACTCCTAATAATAATCCCTCCAAAAAAAACAAAAAAACCACAATAAAAATTGGTCATTTTCAATCTACGACTGTTTGTGGGACATTGCTGTGCGCAATTGGCTGCCGCGTTCGCCCACAAATATACTATTTATTATTATTATTATTAACATTATACTCCTTGAAAAACTTACCGTCAACCCTTCCAACCTCGGGCACTACTGCCCTGTTTCAAACCTGCCCTTCCTAGCCAAAGCTTTGGAACATGTTGTTGTTGACCAACTTAGCGCATAGCTCTCGCTGCACTACCTACTCGAAGCCCTCCAGTCTGCACTAGATTTCCGCAAATGGTTTTTCTTCTCGACCCGCCAGGTCACCTGTGGGGTACCCCAAGGGTCCATCCTTGGCCTCCTTCTCTTCCTCATCTATATGCTCCATCTGCAGTCACAGGGTGAACTTCCACATAACCGCGGATGACACTTAAATCTACTTCTCTTCTTCCAGCTGAAACCCCCAATCCTCTGATGTTCTGTCAGCTTGTCCTTCTCTGGAACTCTCCCCTAAAATTCATCAGCTGACAAAACCTATTTCATAGAATCATAGAATTATACATCACAGAAAGAGGCCATTCAGTCCATCGTGCCTGTGCCAGCTCTTTGAAAAGAGCTACCCAAATAAATCCCACTCCCCCGCGCTCTCCCCATACCCATACAACAACAACTTGGATTTATATAGAGCCCTCCATGCCGGACGACGTCTCAGAGCAGTTTACAATAATGGATCCCGGGGCCGAGCCAGGGGGAGGGGGAAGAAGGTGACCAAAGGCGCGGTCGAAAAGAAAGGTCTTTAGCTGAGACCTGAAAGTAGGAAGAGAGTGAGGAAGGGAGTTCCAGAGCCTCGGGGCGTCGTGGTTGAAGGCACGACTGCCGATGGTGGAGCGGAGGACTCGTGGGACAAGGAGGAGGCCAGACCCGGTGGAGCGAAGGTAATGGGCACTGTTGTGAGGAGAGGGGTCAGTGAGGTCGAGGGGTGCAGAGGAGTGGAGGGATTTGAAAACAAGAGTCAGGATCTTGAAATCGATCCTCTCAGAGATAGACAGCCAGTGCAGTTTGAGGAGCAGAGTTTGGTGCGGGAAAGAAAGCGGGCAACAGAATTCTGGATAACCTGGATTTTATGAATGGTAGTGGAGGGGAAAGCGGCGAGGAGGGTATTTGAATAGTCCAGCTGAGAGGTGACAAAGCCATGGCCCAGGTTTCGGTGGCTTTGGGGTGAGATATTGGCGGAGACAGGTGATGTGTCGGAGGTGGAAGAAAGTGGTGCTGGTGAGGGACTGGATGTGGGGAAGGATAATTGGGGATCGAACCTGACATCTGGGTTCCGTACAA